CAGGTTGTTTGAATATACAAAGTAATCTACATGACATTAAACAGTTATGCATCAAGATTTCCTTATCATGTAAGAAATCACTACTGTATTCTATGGGAGAACATACATGTAAGTGTATTTTTTTTATAGTTTCACTGACTGCTATTTAGGGAAACAAATTCCCATGTGAATAGAATAAATTAAGTCACAACTTACCTTGTTTCTAGGATGCATCCTTGAGGTCAAGATCAGGGGGGGTCAATTGGAAGAGGAGGGCTAGGGGTCACAACTTCTATGAGGGCCTGTGTACATCTCAGCGCCTGGAACCAAAAAAACAAAAACAAAAACAATTAACACAGAATGAACACAAGAAATAAATCAAACATTCAAGAGTGATTTCCTCAACAAATAAAAAAGCTAGCAAGAACTAGTTCTCTACCCCTGGGCAAAACATGGAATCCCATTTCACAAATCAGATTATCATTAACTTTTATTTAGGGAAATATGTGTCTGTGTAAAAGTCAATATACACAAATGCACACAATGAATACGATGTGGCTGACCGGCAAGTTTGACGGTAGACATGCGATTTGAATTTTTAAATTATTTTTCTAACATCGGTGAGTTGAATTTTTTTTATTTTTATTGCTATTTATCAATTGTCACTACAGTACCGATTTTAAGTGAAATCAGTTGAGTTTTGTACAGTGGTGTTTGAAATGTTGAGATTCAAAAGAACAGCTTTTAATACACAGCCAAGGTCGTAATGGCTAATGCAGCCATGTACAGATGTAAGTCTAGACTGACTAGAGTCTAGACCACACATATATGTGCATTACTATCCTGGCTGTATATTAAAAGCTGTGCTATTGATTCTCAACATTTCAAACACCACTGTACAACACTCAACTGATTTCACTCAAAATCGTTACTTTCGTGACGATTGATGACACCTACATAGCATTAAAATACAATTTTTTCAACTTTCCGATGTTAGAAAGAATTATTTAAAAATTCAAATTGTGAGTCCACTGTCAAACTTTCGATCAGCCGCATCGGCATGATTGTGTGCATCTCTGTGTGTTACGAGTGTATCGACTATTCATGTAGATCTATTCCAATCCTGCCTATGCAGTGCAGTGCTACTGGTCAATACGCAATAGCATTGACTCATCTTGACTTTTAATAGAAGTCTAGATCAAATCCTATTTGGAATTCAATCTAAAAACGTTATTACTAATAATCCCAGTCCCATTTGATGCCTGAACACATGAGGAAACTGAAATTCAACAGAAAATGAAATAGTTTCGGTCTTTGAGCCAACAATTGCACTGAAGACTCCATGAAAATCTATATGTGGGACAACACTATACAATCGGTAGGCACTACGCCCATTCGCGCGTTTTACTATTTTTAGACCATTTCGCGCCAGTTCACCCAACTTCGAGTACGTATTTCCGGTGAAAACATAATTTTTTTGGGGATTTGGGAAGCAGAATTCACTAATTTCCTGTTGAGGAACCTCAAATTGGACAACAGATTTGGCAATTTCAGACATTGCTGAACACATATCGACATCAAATGATCTTTTTCTAGTTTCGAACGGGTCAGGTTTACGAAAACAAATTTTAGTTACAAAACTAGGAACGAAAACTTCTCAAAATTAGGCTTCATTGCATGATGCTGTAAAACCGTAAATTTTGCGGAAATATATCAACATTTCATATCATTCGAAAGGAAATTTTCTGGAGATCGACTTACCCAAACATGGCTGCTCAAAAACTGAGCATGCGCGAGAAAATAGAGTCTACGTCATCCCTTCCAGTATTCTCGCACGATCTCGTAACTTCTCGTTTGTGGATATTATTCATCGAGCTGTTTCCATCGCACGATAACGCTCGCACGATATGCTCATTAGCGAGCGTGCAGCGGGCTGACTGTGTTGAGACTATACCAATTTACACTTAGGCCTTTAGGGGCATTTGATAATAGGAGGGTATAAGGAGTACAGTTTTAGCTAAGGAATTTGGGTGTGATCATTGGACCGAGTTATTTATAACTGAATACCTCATTCATTGAAACCCACAATGAATGACTGGGCAGGATCGAACCAAAGAGTCTTTGATCGTACTGGACTCGAGCATGCAAACACTACATACGAACTGGACTCTAGCATGCAAACACTGTACTGCACTCTATTTGCTTTTCCCTGATTAAGGTCAATACATTGTAGTATTTGTTAGTCTGATGCAAACATGCCCTCATCAGAGAGCTGGTGTAAATATCCTTACAAATAGTTCGGGAATTCTTTAAATCAACTATCATGTCATGCATCCTAGCAAAACGGTTTATAGTTTGATAATAACCGTAAAACTGATTGAACAGGAACGTCCGGATGAATGAAGGAACAAAACTTGGAAAGTGTACATATTGGGATTTCTATCTCCCTAAGAATAATTAATATCCTATTCTCTTTTTTCATTTGGAGTTAAAAAAATAAATAAATAATCGGTACAGTATGATACCATTACTTGGAGAAAAAAAATTGTCTAAATGATGTTTTTTCCAGTTTTATGTTTGTGTTTTCCCCGTTTGTTCCTATTTATCCCTTGTTACAGTACCAAATACTTTATGTGAAGTTATCCATCGGTCTCTCACAAATAGCTATCGGTAACATAATTTTGTAGTATTTGATCTGATTTGATTTGATTTTATTTTATTTATTTATTTTCCACTCAAATATCCACAAATTAAACCATACAGTGTATGCCCATTAAATGTGATTGTGAGTGCTTATATAAGGCCAGCAGTTTTGTTTACATCATCATGAAACGAATGTCCATGCTGATCAATTAATTATCTGGCCAAGGCTGGAGTTCCTGGAAATACATGTCCCATGATAAAGCCTGTTGCATGCATAGAAGATAGGAAGATGGGCACATAGCCAGGGAATTGACAGCAGACTAATCTACATGAAGGAATTCCCCTTCTAACATCCTTATGGCAGGCACATGACAATTGTCATTTGACATTGAACTCACGATCATAGAGTACACTCGGAACATGTATGTGTGCCATCAGAAGGACGCTATGTACAGGAATTGCTAATAGCCCAATATACATGTATATGCATACATGTACATATTTAGGCATACACTTAAGAATTCCCCTCCTATCGCCCTTATGGCAGGCACATGACAATTGTCATGTGACATTGAACTCACAATCATAGAGTACGCTCGGAACATGTATGTGTGCCATCAGAAGGACGCTATGTACAGGAATTGCTAATGGCCCAATATACATGTATGTATATGCATACATGTACATATTTAGGCATACACTTAGGATTTCCCCTCCTATTGCCCTTATGGCAGGCACATGAAAATTGTCATTTGACACTGAACTTATAGAGGACACTTGTACTTCCTTCCTTAGTGAAGATTGCATGAATCATTTTCAGTGAGAAATTCAGTATTGCACTTTGTTTGTGTAAGATTGCTATGGATGAGAATGACTTGCAAGTTTAGGATTGTTGGTGCATATTTCTACCCCATTTATATCAGGTTACTATCAGAGACCATACTTGAGTGATAATGAGATAATAAGACAATAATTAGATGAACCTTACAGGTAATTAACTGCACTGAACCTGTTCACAAAATGTTTCAAATCAATGAAAAATAGAAAGTGAAATAGCCCCAGACATGTAGGAATATTACTTTTCTCTATTGAAAATCCTGTATTTACCATGAGATAAGGAAATGAGTTTTACAGCACTGTACAGATACAGTACTCTCTACATTCACTCTTACCCCATTCCATTTTAGACTTGCCGAAATGAATTCTGTTCCGGTAATCAATATGTATATTAAATTGAAGAGCTTCAATCATTTCTTTTAAAGGCGTACTGTTATTAAATCATGGGGGATTGTGGGTACATGTGATGCATTGCATTACTTTTTTTTCTTCTTGATGTGTCGGAAACCACCAAGACCACAAAATTGTTGATGGTATCTCATATCTTTTGAATGAAAGAGAAAGTAGTTAAATTCAGCTTTTATGAAATTTGATGGTGCTTGAAACGAATTAGAAGTTTAAAGTAAAGCAATTCAGACAGATATATTTACTTTCATTAGGTGTATTCTCTTGAAAATATCTATAAATACATGTATTCTTTTCAATGGAAACCTGTCAATTATCAATCTTAAAACGTCCCGTTAGCTGGAAACATTCATGTTTTGAGGACCCGCACAATGATGACACTCTCTATTAAAGTGAGGCAAGATTTATATTATGGTTGAGTCATCTTTTCTTCCTCGTTAGTAGACGAAGTACCATGTAAACATCCTGGTTGTTGCTTGTAAGCTTCTGGGACATGGAAACATTTGCATGGCATGACTCACATTAAACATCAATGAATGAGCTACTGTGGGGAACATGAAGAAAAACAACATTCTGTTGACATGTAAGCCTACGCTTAATGGCTAAACCACAATGTTTGAGGTTGCAGATGATATGAAAAGTTATATCTTGTGCCGCCTGTTGTGATGCAGTCAGTGACCACAATGAATATTGATTTTATGCTTCCAATCCAATAAACATGATTTTTGTTAAAGGATGATATTGATAAGGCACAACTTTACACTTCAGCATCAAATGTTCTGTCAATTGAGTTTGAAAAAGATTTCTTAGAATAATTTGAATGGTTTTATCAGGCATTCAGTCATTTTCATTTTCTTTTAAATTTATTTATTTTTGGAAAACCGACATAAGCATATCATCTGATTTTAGCCAAAAAAGCCTTAACTCGTATTATTTTTCACAGGGTTAACGCCCGTTTGGTTCCCAAATAGATGATGTTGTTTAACGCATAAAGGTGCTCTTCCATTTTTCAGATACAACCCCTTTAGAGGGCTGTTGCTGTAGTATGCATTTAAACTGTACCCTTTTTTGTATTTCCAACTGTACTATCTGAATATCAATTCAATAACTTTGGCTCTCATCTCTTTTGACCACAGCCCCTCTGGATGTACTTTCTGGGGGAAGAAGCCATGGAGCCGCAAGAAGAAGATCCTGTGGCAGCTTGGCACACTCGTAGGAGCTCCTGTGGGCATAGCCCTGATTGCTGGAATAGCCGTTCCAGCCATCATCATTGGCATACCAGTCTATGTCGGAAGAAAGGTAAGTTAGCTGGATTTAAAAAGATTCTATGATTGCTTTGTGGTCACTATTCTTCTCATTACTGAATTATTTACTGTAAACTTGGACCAAACACTTTACCTTACCCTTACCCTAATACCTCTGTCACACCACCCAACCACTCCGCACAGTGGCCATCCTGGCCATAATAATAATAGCCTAATAGTCCACTCCAAATTTTATTTAAACTTACCTTTAACCTGAAACCCAATTCAAACCCAATCCCAAATTTTTGACTTCACCTTTAACCCATTTGCAGCCTTAACCAAAATCCTATTTCAATGACAAAATTGCCAGAGCACCATTGTGAAAATTTGATGGTTTAAGTTGATACATGGTTTAAGCTTGTATAACAGAGCAACCAAATAGGATTCAGTTTATGTGTAAGTGTCTTTGTTAAACTGGAATTGAGACTGAGCTCAAACCTAGCGACAGGAAGTTATGTACTAGAACATTCTTTTTTGCAAACTGCCTCAAAAGAGTTACAAACCTCTGCTTTTGTAGAGCTTTTAAACATTTCAGACAAATGTAATTGCCAGTAGTGATTATTTCCAGGAAATAAGAAAGCAAAGTTTGGGTGCAGCCAAACCAAACACAGACAACAGGAGGTTGAAGAAGAGTTTAGTGGTATTATTGTGAACTTCTGGTATAGGTCCATGTCTGGGTCACAGCACTGATGCGTATTTTAGATTTCATTTCCACCTTTTGATTTTGCTTACAATCAGGTTAGGTTGGCCATTTTCACTTCACCTGTCAAATGATGTCCTACATTAGTCCCTAACACTCTCTCTATTTCTTATTTTTCACTTTTTTTCTCTCCACTGTCTTCTCACCCATCCCTATTTTAACTGATTCCATTTTCTTGGGGTTCCTTGTTGTTTTCCAGTATAGGCTATTGCATGCTCCCCTCTCTTCTCTTTTTATGTCTCCTCTGTCTTTTTTTTTCCTGATCAAGTCTTCTGTCCTCCCTCCCTCCCCCACCCCCTCTCTCTCTCTCTCTCTCTCTGTCTGTCTCCCCCACCCTCTCTCTCTCTCTCTCTTTCTCTTCCTTTCCCCTAGTTCTCTCTCTCTCTCCTACTTCTTTCAATATAAATATCTTCATCTATATTCCCTCTCATCCTATCTGTAATAGTTCTCTCCCTCCCCAATCTTTCCCTCTTTCTCACACTTTCCCCTCTCTTCCCATCCTCCCCCTTCTCTTTCTCCCCTCTTCTCTCCTCCCTTCTTCTCTCCTCCCTTCTTCTCTCCTCCCTTCCCATCTTCCCCCTTCTCTCTCTCCCTCCTTCTATCCTCCCTTCTTCTCTCCTCCTTCTATCCTCCCTTCTTCTCTCCTCCCTTCTTCTCTCCTCCCTTCCCATCTTCCCCCTTCTCTCTCTCCCTCCTTCTATCCTCCCTTCTTCTCTCCTCCTTCTATCCTCCCTTCTTCTCTCCTCCCTTCCCATCATCCCCCTTTTCTCTCTCCCTCCTTCTATCCTCTCTCCCTTCCTCTCCCCATCATCTCCTGCCCTACTTCTTCCAATCTCCATCTCTTCATCATCTCTATTCTCTCTCATCCTCTCTATTCTCTCCCATCCTCCCCCTTCTCTTTCTCCCTTCTTCTCTCCTCCCTTCCCATCCTCCTCCTTCTCTCTCTCCCTCCTTCTATCCTCTCTCCCTTCCTCTCCCCATCATCTCCTGCCCTACTTCTTCCAATCTCCATCTCTTCATCATCTCTATTCTCTCTCATCCTCTCTATTCTCTCCCTTCCTCTTTATCGTTGCCTGTGTTGCAGTAATAATAGATGAATAGTGCTGTCAATTATCTCTATTATTGACACATTGAAGTTACGTCAATGAAATCTCTTCTGACGTGATGGCTAGTGTGGTGGGCGATGTTTGTAAAACTCCACTTTTTATTTTCTTTCAATCTCGTGTAGTTATAAAAAAATATTGTAGAATATTTGTAAAAAATATAAGTAGGATTCCCAAAATAGTGCTAATGACTTTTGAATGCAAGATGGTAGGCATATTATGACAGGGATAATGATCTTTTAATAGAGCTGCCAAGTAGTGCGAAGTTTTAGTATTATGTTCTAGAATTTGATATTATTTGTTTAGGTTTCTTGAATTTTCTAGAAAATTTAAGTCTGTTTTATTGTATTACTATTAATTTTGTTTCTTTACTTGTTCCAGTCTTTTTTTATTGATTTGTGAAATAGTGATATCCTTTTAAACAAAATACTGGTTATTCAAGAAGATATTATATGTGAATCTTAATTGAATTACACAGAACAGAGTGGTCAGTTTCTTCAATTATATTGGAAGGTCTTTGTTCTCTAGAAGTTTAAAGATTAAAAAGACACATGGTGCAAATAGAATAAAGAAAAATGATAGTAAGGAACAGATGGGGAATATATTTTGAGACAGCTTGGTAAAGTAGGTTTATAGGTAATTTCAAATAAAAGGAAGAAGGGGGGGGGGGAGGGAGTAGCAAAGAAATTTGAATGCATGGATTGTAGAGGAGCAATATCTCTTTATTCCATTAATCCATTTTATTTGTAATGAATGCATACGCAATTGAGCCTCTCCTATATCAAAATTAAGATTTATATTTCTTCTCTGTACGTGGTTTCCAATTTCAATTTCAATGTAAATGTGATTAACTCCTTCATTTTCAAATAATTTTGATCAAATACTTCCATAGAAGATCAAGTTTCATGTATTTGTCTGATATCTCTAATTCATTTGAATCCCAACAAGAGTGAACTTTACATCCATTTTTTAAGTAGTAGAAACTTATTCATTATCTACTGTAATACAGTGTCAGGTTGCATACTTCAATCTGATAGAAAATGTCTAGTTTATAATTCGTCAAAAAGGGAAAGGAAGGGAGCAGTGATATATAATATTAACTGATCGACTTACGATGAAGTGGAGTGTTTTTAATAGTTTGTATTGAAATAAAGCATAGTTTGAATGTGTGATGTAATACCATGTCAGGAATATATATCATTATCTATAGTGTCTGGTTGCATACTTCAATCAGATAGAAAGTGTCTAGTATTTGTCAAAAAGGAAAGGAAAGGAAGCTAGCAGCGATATGAAACATTAACTGATCAACTTACGATATAGTGGAGTCACTGGAGTGTTCATATTGAAATAAAGCATGCTTTTAATGTGTGATGTACATGTATACCATGTCAGAAATATACTACGTCTGAGAAAGCAGATACACAAAGGAGAAAAACAAGATGTAATCTGTGGCATTGTGCAGTTTGTATTCCCTTCTATTTGAATGCAGGAACTGTTGTTAACAGTTGTCTCATAAATAATTCTACAATCTCTTTATCCTTGTGTCTCTGTGTAGGCCTGTTGTATTTTTGTTTAGATTGGCTTCATGTACATTCGTGGCCATGCAATAATGATTGCGACCTTCTTTTAAAAATAAAAATAAAATCTTGATTTCTGAAAGTTTGAATGAAATAGGTCAAGCAATTAGGAATAACTTTGATAGTTGAGATTACATGTTTGTTAGACAACTCTTCCAGTTGCTCCTAAAGCACAAAATAATTGTAATTAATTTTTCAAAATCCATTGCTGAAAAAGACTGGTCGCCAATTTGATATTTTACATAGATAAATTAAATGGATTCATCTTTCAGCCACTTACACGTAGCGGAATTTTTTGTCTAATATTATCTTTACTTACAGCAACCCTTTTCTCTAATTTTTTGTTCTGTTTTTCACAAAATTCAAATGTAAGCCAAAGTATTTTATGTTGAATTCCTTTTTAAACACCATGCATGTGGTTTTCTAGATGCTTCAATTTTGACTAAAATCAAATTTTATATATATATTGAAAATATATTATATTCTGATATCACAAAAGAAATTGAAATCCAGAAACTTTACATAAAAACAATACTTTGATCTGCTGATAATTTGTGAAATAAGCTGCATTCTATCCATGGCAGCGATAAGGAAGTAGGCAGGATATGGGTGAATCCAGTGATGCCTGTTCAATATAAATAAAAGGAAATAAAATGAGTTCATGACCTCTAATATATCATCTAGGTCAAGGAGGAATAAGAGATAATAAACATTTCATGATTCCTCTTTTTTCAAATCCCTATTTGTTTTTATTTTAGTCATCTATTTCTTTATTTCTTTATTCGTTCATTCATTTATTCATTTAGTTCTTTTTTGTTCATTTTTTTGTTCATTCATTTATTTATATAAAAAATCCATTCAGTTGTTCATTTTTTTCATCTATTTAAGACGATTTTGTTGTTGTTTTGTATAGGTAATAGTTGTAAACTACAGACTCTGGACTGGACTCATTTCTTCCAATCCTACTTTTTACTTTGTCTTTTGAACTTGAAAAACCAACCTTCCCTCAACCCCTCCCCCCCCCCCCCCCAAAAAAAACAAAACAAAACAAAACAAAACAAAACAAAACAAAACAAAACGATCAAATCAAATCAAATCAAAAGATTAATGTATGATAAATGAATTGACACCTACACCTTCATATTTCCTTATGCTATTATGCTATTCTACTCAAATATCTAATCCAAATCAGTTACCAGAACATTGATTATTAGGCAAGTGCAAAACACAGCAATATTGCACCCTCATTGTATTACTGGCAATACAGTTGATACTACATGTAGCCCAAATTTGCAACCCTGTGAAGTGCAGCATATATCAGTACGTCTCCTAAAAAAACAGCTGCTTGTATAGTGCACAGTATGGAGTCCTTCATGTGTGCAGCTGCCAACCTTAAAAATAGGTCAGCAGTTTCAATACTAGGTTTTTATGCATCAACATTACGTTCTGTATGTAGGCCTACATTTATTGGACATGTTTGTTGCAAATTGTGTGTATAAACCTACATAAAACTAGTCTGGATTGGAAGCGTATATTTGAACTTTAAATTTTGAAATGTTGGGACTTCAAATTTGATACAGACATGTGAGGGACACTAGGCTTTAATACATCATTTTATTTATCTATGGTGTATCTTTCTCCCTCTTTCCTCTTCTACCTCTTCTGCTTCTTCTTCTTCTACTACAAATTCTTCTCCTTCCTCTTCTTCTTCTTCCTCTTCCTTCTTTCTTTCTCTTCCTTCTTTCTTTCTCTTCCTTCTTTCTTTCTCTTCCTTCTTTCTTTCTCTTCCTTCTCTCTTTCTCTTCCTTCTCTCTTTCTCTTCCTTCTTTCTTTCTCTTCCTTCTTTCTTTCTCTTCCTTCTTTCTTTCTCTTCCTTCTTTCTTTCTCTTCCTTCTTTCTTTCTCTTCCTTTCTTTCTCTTCCTTCTTTCCTTCTCTTCCTTCTTTCTTTCTCTTCCTTCTTTCTTTCTCTTCCTTCTCTCTTTCTCTTCCTTCTTTCTTTCTCTTCCTTCTTTCTTTCTCTTCCTTCTCTCTTTCTCTTCCTCCTTTCTTTCTCTTCCTTCTTTCTTTCTCTTCCTTCTTTCTTTCTCTTCCTTCTTTCTTTCTCTTCCTTCTCTCTTTCTCTTCCTTCTCTCTTTCTCTTCCTTCTTTCTTTCTCTTCCTTCTTTCCTTCTCTTCCTTCTTTCCTTCTCTTCCTTCTTTCTTTCTCTTCCTTCTTTCTTTCTCTTCCTTCTCTCTTTCTCTTCCTTCTCTCTTTCTCTTCCTTCTTTCTTTCTCTTCCTTCTTTCTTTCTCTTCCTTCTTTCTTTCTCTTCCTTCTTTCTTTCTCTTCCTTCTTTCTTTCTCTTCCTTCTTTCTTTCTCTTCCTTCTCTCTTTCTCTTCCTTCTCTCTTTCTCTTCCTTCTTTCTTTCTCTTCCTTCTTTCCTTCTCTTCCTTCTTTCTTTCTCTTCCTTCTTTCTTTCTCTTCCTTCTTTCTTTCTCTTCCTTCTCTCTTTCTCTTCCTTCTCTCTTTCTCTTCCTTCTTTCTTTCTCTTCCTTCTTTCTTTCTCTTCCTTCTTTCTTTCTCTTCCTTCTTTCTTTCTCTTCCTTCTTTCTTTCTCTTCCTTTCTTTCTCTTCCTTCTTTCCTTCTCTTCCTTCTTTCCTTCTCTTCCTTCTTTCTTTCTCTTCCTTCTTTCTTTCTCTTCCTTCTTTCTTTCTCTTCCTTCTTTCTTTCTCTTCCTTCTTTCTTTCTCTTCCTTCTCTCTTTCTCTTCCTCCTTTCTTTCTCTTTTTAGGTGGCTCACTACATACATATGGGAACAAATCCTATCTTGAGAGTTATTCGCGTATATTATGTACTGTACGTGTATCTTTGCCTTCACAATAGGTTTCATAAATGCTCCTGAGGAAAAATACTAAAATAGTTTCTCAAAAATACATCTTTCAAAAAAGATTTATCACAAGACCTTGATTTTTATTTGTTGATGTCATTTCAATTTTTTTTTATTGATATTCGTATTCGTCGAAACAATTGTACTTTGTATTTTATTATGTATAGTTTTACAGTTAATGATGTACCGGGCCTTTACATCCTATGAGTCCCAAGGTTTTTACCTTGTATTGACTTTATATAAACCAGATGTATATATCATTGACAGGCATGACATTACATTTTACGAGTAGTATCATCTTGCAAATAATGGTTATATCTTTAATTCTCCAGGCAGTTCAGGAATCTTCTTTGAAGAAAACCAGATTTACAAGCTTCAAAGATATAACCATATACATGTATTTTTCAATATCATTAAACGGTGCATTTTCATAACTGAAGTATACCTGTATATCAAGTGATCTTGATTTCAAATATGATTCACTCAATATTTTTACTTCAATGATATTTCATTTCACAATTTCAACAATTTTACAGTACTATAAAATATACTTGTAAAACAGAATGGTGGTGATGGTGGCAGCAATTTCTTTGGAGAGCCATTTGATAGTATGTACATGGCGCGCTCAAGAAAGCCAGAAAGTTCTTTCTCTTTAAAAAAAAGTACAACTGATATACATGTAGCTGCATTTACAACGAGTTAGAAATCTTTATGAACACAAAATTGTTGTTTGGAAAAGAGAAAATGATATATGTTTGAGTCTTTGTTAAGCCTTGTTTTCGTTATCTCATTCTCTATTTCAAGGTGCATGCCAAGTATGTCAGTATGCCCCGACATCGTCGTAATCTGGCCATCGCTGGTAGTGTGTCCCTCTCCATCATCGTCTCACCAGTGATTGCTGCCCTCACAGTTGGTAAGTTGTCAGTTTCTAGTCAGTGAACTGCTGGAGTAACGCTGTACTTTGGCTAAAAGTACAGTGAATGTGTACATGTGGGATGGTACTGGTAACATATGGCAAAGAAATTTCTCAAATACATGCTGCTTTCCAAAACCCCAAGCAATTTCACCTCCTTATCATGATAACATTTGTCTGATGTCCATAGACAATGCAGTTTGTCCTCAGTTGTCTCCTTCTAACCAGTGCCATGTCTTACAAGGAGCTGAAATCAATCGCAACTATGTACATTAAAGAGGAAGGAGACTGCAAACTTGCGATTGATTATAGGACTTGCGATTGATTTGGATCGATCCCAACTCTTTGTAAGACAGGTCCCAGGTGTGTTAAATAGTTACCCACATGTACCAGGATTTCTTCCTTGCTTGAAATGTGCTGTGTGGTAATAATAGCTGCGTGAGTTCAAATTGAGTGATACTATCCAAACCTATGAAAAGGCATTATGCTACATTTATTAACAATGTCATTCTAATTTGATATGTGCTAGATGGCAATGGAATGATGTTATTAGTACCATTATTAAATGTTTCTACGTTGTGTTTGTTTACTCGTTTCACAGGAATTGGTGTGCCTATCATGCTGGCCTATGTATACGGAGTGGTGCCCGTCTCACTCTGCCGTAGCGGCGGATGCGGGGTTATCACGGGTTACAGCGGAGGAGTGCGCATCGCTCTCGATGAAGAGAATGACGTCGGTATGGCCGGATCAGACAACAGATCAGGTATGGATGGGAAATATCAGACTCTAGTGAGATACTTGTTCTGTTTGACTCGTCTTTAAAGAGAAGGATGAGTTCTGGGAAGAGGTGAAAAATAATTTGTGAGCGTTATTGTTATTACGCAAGTTTGGAAGAACATCAGATAAAACATCTTTCCTGAAAAGCACTGCTCTTCAAAAGTTCAAATGCCTGCATATTCTAAATATGTCATGTAACATCGTAAAAATTGGGACAGATTTTTACGCCACGTGTTCGTGTAGTCCCATATACATCTTTCTGTGTACAGTGTTTGTAACTTTATAAAGACTTGGCCAAATTTCTTATCATTTTGATGATTCCAGAACCTTTCAATACACACAAATACTATATGTTTTAATAGATGATCAACCTTTTCTGATCGATACCACATCGTTTCTTTCACAATGCAATCGCATGACCAGAACTCAACTTTAGTTTTAATCATCTTTTATCGTAAATAGAAAACAACCCAGAGGTGAACAGCGTGGCAGCGAACGCGAGTATAGGAGAGGCGAGCGTCCTCAACCGAGAGAGTACGAGCCATCTAGAGGTCGCAGGTGTCATGACGGACGATACCGTGAGCGACAACGCCAGTACAAGGGCCATCGCTGGGGCCAGTCTAACAGGGAGCCTATCGGGCAGCGGGGGCGTGGGGCCACTTGTCCTTAATAGCCACCACAGGTACGTTAATCGAATGAAGCTTTGCTCACACAAGACAAAATTAATAGTCTACAGGGATTCCAGTTTTCAGGCAATAGCCTGAATTCAGGCCCTGGCAAGTTATTTTCATACCATAGTTTAGGCTTTTTTGTGTACAAACTAGCTCATTCTAGGGGATTTTCAGGCCCTCTGATCTCTGTCTAAGAAAATTTGTCTTGGCAAAGGAAAACTATTTCATGTCTAAAAGAATGGGAAGTGGAATTGGAAAACCAACTGTGTGCACACTCCTATTAAAAAGCGTACCCACTTTTAGCTGTATTATCTGGGATATACACAAATCAATGATTTCGGACAAAAATGTCCAGAGTTTATGTCAAGACAAGGTGCACTGAGACTCTGTGTTATGTTAGAAGGAAACCACAAAGAAAGTATATCTCGATGGCCTTTTTTAAAAATGATCATATGGTTTAAAGTCCTATCTGATGGATTTGTTGAAAATGTCTGTTACATGCATTTGGCAATCACTTGGTATTGGGAATCTCTGATTACTGAGCAATTGAACTTCCACTACTAATGTGGCAATGATTATGTTGTAAGTTTATGATTCTGAACAATGATCTATATGTTTCTCTTTTTTTTCTCTCTCTCTCTCCCCCCAGGATGGATATTCATAATGAAGTAGTTGGCAAGAGACTGAGTCTGAGTAGCGACACAACCTTTGATGCCTACGCCTCTGCAAACGATAGAGGTAATGATATTAAAAGTATAGACCAGTTCTGGTCGTGCAATTGCATTGTGGGAGAAACGTTGTGGAATCGATCAGAAAAGGTTGATCATCTAGCATATAAGTATTGGTGTGTACTGCAAGGTTCAGGAATCATCAAAAAGATAAGAAATTTGGCCCAGTCTTGTTAAAGTTACAAGCACTGTACACAGAAAGATGTATATGGGACTACGCGACACATGCGCAATATCTATCCGGTCCGGATAGATATAAAAGTTTACCAAATATACCAATTAGTAGGCGGTTTCCCGGCAAAATTTGTATCATCACGTATTAGTCAAAGCATATTCTTTCACATGATTGGTAATAAGAGCTTCCATTTCATTTCTTGAGAGGGGGGCGTTTCCAAAACTGGTCTTTACCTTTAACAAGTAATATCTTCCATTCTATACGCTATTATCTGCTGGTAGCCAGCTGGGTGTTATCTCAGATCACTTTACAGAGAGATAATACTCATCTGGCTATCAGCTAACTGTACATCACGCCAAATTTATTTTATCTTATTTTTGTTATCGGAACTGTGTCTCTTGCTTTGTCCATCATCGTCAATATTTTCAACAGATGTTGTAGCACCAATAATGAAAGATAGACAGTTGTAGATAAAAGGAAACCTGTCTGAAGTAATAGTGATAATAAGATGACAATGTACAACCTCAAACTTCACTGGTGTAAATAAGAAAAATTAGTACTAAACTTTTCCATATTGCCTCTACTTCAATATCAAAATGATATTTTGTTGGCATTGATGACAATGTATTTACACAGCATTGCTGGTAATCCTATCAAGTAGGACTGATATTGGCTTTTGTTGATATGTAGTTTTTACTTGCAACCATAAAATTAGTTTCTGAATACCAAAATATTTAGATTGTGATGTAAAATGAAATCTTGCTCCTAATGACATCAGCTGGAGTTAAATTGATTAAATCGATTGAATACCTAGGACTTTACCTGAATACATATGAAAATGCAATGCTCAATTTCCTCTTTTTTCCCCCAGATTACCAAAGTTTGAAGAATGGGGCATCCAACACACCGCTGGAAGTTCACGTCGACATTGAGGGAACTTCCTATCCTATATCTCGCCACAACAGCAGTGGGAGTAACAACAGTACTGAGCACGGCGGACCGGGGACAAGTGGATCTTCCAGGACATTCACATCCTCCCTCCGCAATGCCACTAACATTGGAGAGGACTTTAACGGTCAAGTGGTCGAAGGGGACGTGTGGGAGCTGAAGACGAGTGCCAATTCACCGGTGATGGCTGCAAGGGGCGCAACCGCTCCTGCCTCCACCTCCAAGACAACCACAACAAGTGCCATGCGCAAGAGCTCTAAGAGTAAGGCTTCGTCGCGAAGCGGGAAGCGCAGCAGCGTCAAGATCAGCGATCGCATCTCAGAGGCGCCCTCCCCCTGCCCCGATGCCGTCAGCATCAACGATTCCTTAAATTCGGAGCTGAGCGCCGTTCTAGCCGACGGCGAGTGCCACTCTGAGACGAGCTCGTCGTCCAACGTGGACGCTTCGCTTCCGCTGGGTGAGGCCAAGCTGAAGGGCGACTTATCGAGCAGCCAGAGCTCCTCCCATGGCTTCCAGCTGAACGCCAAGGACAGTCAGTCGTCACTCACGGAGGTGGAGAACGATCGCCCGGGAAGCGGGATGCTAATACGTGATGTCTGTCACTCCTCCTCTAACTCTGTTAATGTGTCTTTAAATAGAGTCATCACCACCGACTTGTGATAAGTGGTGTGGAGGTGACTTGGTTATGAGACCATTTACACTGCTTAACTTATGTATTGTTTCAAGATGTATAGCCATGCATTGTGATGCGTACCAGTGTTGCATTCAAATACAGTGTGCACAGGCTGTACTTATCATTCATCTTGTACTTAAGAATTAACAAAATATAGTATGCAGCCTAGTCATATAAAGACTCAGTTTTAGTAGGATAATATTGAGAATTTAATTATTCACTGCAGTGTTGATGGTCCGTAACCTCCAGTGTCCTTACTTCATGATCATTTCTCACTCTAATTTTCATTTTATGTGCCCACAAATATTAAACCTTACATATTTCAACAAGCGAATTTAAATAGCCATCTGAAGATGAACGTCATTGGCAAATGTTGAAGACAATTCATAGCTGTATCCAATGGGTTTCAATGTGAGTTTGTTCTATTGGCACGCGATTATTCTTTTCATGCGATAGGGCTTTTGAAACATGTCAGGATTTTTGTTCATGGCATTCTTACGCACTTGTACAATGCGAGAACGAGCAAGTATCAACAGTGACAACTCACAAGCTTTTGCTTCTCAGTTTAGAAACACTACGCATACACCCTTGTGTAACAAAAAGGCATGAGTAGTATAGGCTTCTTAATACTGCTACGTAGTTGCATCTAAGTGTATAGTGCAATGTAAATGTCCACTTTCAGCAGAAATTATGCCACAAAACCAAAAACAATGTCCCTGTTGGTATACATTTCAACTTGTCGGACCTTTGAAAAAGGAGTATTTACAAGCTTTTCTGTTGTTCTTTGCGGGGTAGAGATACACTGTAAACTTACGACATGGTCAACTGCTACTAGTGAAATTACCTCTTTTTCTTGTGTATTATGTGCACTTATTGTATGAGGATTACGTCCGTTTGAGCAAGAAGGGCATTAACTCAATCATTTCAAACAGAGTTAACATCCTTCTGGCTCCAAATAGATGATAATGTTGTGATGGTTAGATGAAACGGAAGTCCGATTTTGACTAAAACCTTGATTTGAATTGAGCTGGAATGCGATCGGGAGCATCAGTCTCGTAAGTGTTTTATTTGATGTAATATGTCTTGTAGAGGTTTTAGTACTGGATTGTATAAAGTATAGTATCTGTATATATGTGTGACAAAATAGTATGTTATAGCTTCATGTTTCGTTTTTTAAGACGTTCTAATTGCAACAGAAATTTACGGGCTCTGGGAGTCTCAAGTTTATCATGATGATGGCTTCTAAGTAGATCTGGATTACTTTTTGAAATGATCGTTTATGAATTTGAAAATGACTCGTAACTATTTCATGTTTCATTCAAAAACCATCACACGTAACCATAATGAATGATTGAGTGTATATTAATTGAAATAACAGGATTTATTTGGGTTTCTTTTTAGGTCAATGCAAGAAGGGGTGGAGATATAGTACTGATTCTTATTGATTGTAAAAAATAAATGACACATTTATAAGTGAATGTTAAGTATATTGTGTATGTATATTTGTGCTTTTTCCTATTATTTCTGAACATTTATACATTTCTTTTGTTGGCTGAGATATATTAGTGTCATGATGTGTGTACATTAGAAGACTATAGGAACGTTACATGTATCGAACATTAGATGATGACATTTTTGTTTTAATTCAATATATTCTAAGGTACGGGTTAAAATTATTGAAGGAACCAAATGTAGATGTGTACTTTGAAATAAAACAGACTAATATTGTGGTATTATAAATTTTGATAAACACATGAAAAATGGTTACAATATTGTTTTCTGAAATTTCTGCGCTTTTTTTGTTGGTTTTATTGTCATGATCAAGGAATTACCTTGTTGTAAAAAATAGTTTAAAAAAGGGAACACTTGTAATGGAATGCATCAACAACATTGTAAATTTACTTTTAAATAATTTTCACCATCAGATGATCATTTTGTTTCTGTGAGCCAGAGTTGATATACTTTGAGTTTACCAGTAAGGTATTTGAAGGGAATATGTATGCTGATTCAAATACACGTAGAGCTGCAATTGTTTCCAGGACTTGTGTCATGTTCTGAACACATGCCTTACAACACCTGTGAGCTGTACTGTATGTGTTGGATATCTAGCAGCATGTAAATGATGGCCTGATGCTTGTATTTTCAAAGAGTTTTACTCGAATCAACTCTCCAAAAATTATATTTGGAGAATATTTAAGAGATGAATAGATTTGAAAGTCATCACATGCCTGACCAAAAATACTTCAATTCTTTTGATTTCAAAGAATTCTATAATTGCTGATCGCAAAAGTAAAACTATTGTTTCTAGAAGCATTTAGTTTGCAACATAAGAATTGATAGACTATATTCAGATTCATTTTTATTTTTATTTGGCGAGAGACATATATATAGTTCTGTAAAGTATGATAATTTCTGTGTTACATATGATTTGCTGATGTTTGCTTCGACGGAGCGCTATAGAGCTTTATTCATTGAAATATATTCATGTATGTAGCCTTGCAGATATAGAGTTACATGAATGTGGTATTTATTACTCAGTAATGATACATTTTCAGATTTTGTATCGTTGATTATAGTATTACATGATGTCGGTTATCATGAGCTTTGACAGTTCACAGAGTTCATTTCCTGCCCAGTTGTACAAAGTCTAGTCACAACGTAAAAAGATAAAGACAAAAATCTATATTACTGAAAAGCACCCTTCTATCAAAGGTACTATTTAATATTTTATAGTGAAAATTGAAATAATTTAAAGAATGTGAAAGCCATCTTAGAAAATACTTGAAAAATTGCCTATTTTGTTAGTCTGTTTTGCAAACACAAGTCGACAAGTATATGGTCATAATATCTACATATTTCGATTTTTGGTTTTAACATACATGACCGTCTGTTTTGGCTATTTTAATATTGATAATACTTCAGATTTAAGTTTGATTATTTATCCTTATAAATGTTAAGTTGTACCATAAGAAATCTTGTTTCCATGTCATAAAGGTTCCAAAAAAAACCAAATAACTCCCATTTTTTTGCATACATTGTACATTTATAGAAGATTTTAAGTTTTCAGAAAGCATTTTGGTTTTAACACCTAGAATTCCAGTTCTCTTTACTTGAAGTTATGTTTTCTCCTGCAATTTGTATCATTATTCTATGATTATACATATTTAATTGATCTTTTCATTTTGGTAAATAATACTAAAAATGGTAATTTCCCTATTATTTTGGGAAGGGCTTCTGTAAAAAAAAGAAATTCTTTTGATTGATTGGTGCACATTGAAATACCGATTTTGTTTTGGTCTATGAATTTTCTCAGTCGTCCAGATCAAAGATTTATAACAGAGTTTTAAAATCTTAGTTCAAGTTAGTTATTGATAGCAACGTCATATATCATTAACCCTCATTGTAGTACTTGCTCATATAATACCTTGCTAATATTAACTTTGTTAACTGCTTAATGACGATAACATTTGCTACCATGTATCATGCTTTTCTTATATGTAAAAAATTTCTTGCTCTATTTCCCTTATCAATATGCTAAACCAGATGAAAGAAATGCTGATATCTCTGGCATAAAATGGCGGTTTACGCATAATTACTTGTGAAGGGGAAATATAACCTGTTGGTGATGAATTACTATAATTATAGTGAGACGTCCTGTCTTTTAGTTATAATCATTGCTCGTTTATTATCGACTTCTCGTTGACGTGAATGCACAGATATTTAAAGGGAGAGAATAATCACGGGTTTTGTTCTTAGTAGTGTCTTATAGAGTGGAATCAGTGGCAAGTATTCTTTGTGCAAAAAAAAAAATGTTATATCTCTGAAGAAAAACAAATGTTCAATTGAAACGACCGATGGATGTATCAAGTTTTGACAAAATACACATCTTGTGAAATCAAGGAATATAATTCGAATCTCTATTTTGTTTGTGTACTGTGTGATGATGGTGAGTATTTATCACTATACCTCCCCAATTTTTTCCCCATCCCCTTCTCTCTCTCTCTCTCTCTCTTCTCTTCTCTTTCCTCTACTTCATTCCCTTTTTATTCTCATGCTCTCTCTCTCTCTGTATTACATTCTGTCGGCCAATATACACAACTTTTTTTATTTTACTCTCTCCTCATTTTCTTCAACTCTCTCTTTCCTCTGCCTCATTCCCTTTCTTTTCTCTTGCTCTCTCTCAATCTTCCATCCTATCTGCCAATGTACACAACTGTTATGTTATATTACCTTCTCCTCATTTCCCTCAACTCTCTCTCCCTTTCTTTTCTCTTGCTCTCTCTCTCTCTCTCTCTCTCTCTCTTACATTCTATCGGCCAATATACACAATTGTTTTGTTATGTTACTCATTTCCCCATTTCTCTCAACTCTTCTTCTCCTACTGTTGTCTTGTACTTCCTGTTATTACTACACTGTGGTTCCATGTATTGTAACACTCGGCCAAAAGATAAATATAATAATAATATAACCATAAACATTCTCTTGTCTTTCAAATGTAGTAAAGAAAATACCTTCTGGATTACAGACAAAAAGTACCATGACAACAGTTTCAATTTTCTCATATAGTTTCATATGTATTACACCAAATATCGATACAAGATTTATATATACACTCATACATTTACATTTGTATACATATATGTACATTCATTCTAAAAACAGATTTGAATACTGCTAAGCATTATTTCTTTCTTTTTTTTCCCTGGAAGTTGATATGGGACTAAAAATGTGTACAATTACACACATAAAATGCTGGATAACTGCACGATGTGTATTAAGCTTACACATCGGACATTTCAAAACAAATTGATATTTTTGTTCAATATACATTAACTGTACCATTATGTCTCGTAATGTGCTGTAACGCCATGCAGTTTTCTATCTGTAAGTGCTCTAAAGAAACATCGCACAAAGTCCATGAATTCATTCATCATTCTACAAAGTTATTGATTTGATTATAACTTTTTGCACTTGAATACAAATTTTGACTTGGTGCATGTGCTTCATAAAAGGATGTTTCATAAGGAAAATATTGTGATGGCTCAATAACATATCACTGCTTGTTAAATATAATCTGCCAGATAAACATTCAATTATTTCATCTTCATCATGGCAGTGCTGCAATAGTTGCGAATAACAGAGGAAGGATAAAGCTTTGAAACCTTATGCGCCACACCCCTCCTCGCAGAATACATTTGCCCACTCCCAATGTGTCTTCATGTACCCATGGGTCATTCCATTGTCATTACTGGGGTACTTCCAGGTTGAGGATGCGTGTGGGAGGGATCTCCAACTCTTGGTTAACGCGTGAGTTGATGTACTGGTGCAGGAGCATACGAAGCTCTGCGTTCTGCTGCCGTAAACCGTCTGTCTCGGTGATCAGCTTGGCTCTCTCGTGAAGAGTGTCACTGTTTCAGTAAAGAAAGGGAGAAATTCATAATGAAGTGGTCACATGTTGATTTATGAGAACCTTGAGATGCAATTACGCAAAATCAAGCTATCATTATTGCTAATGATAATACATGGATACCAGTTGGTTGAGCAGATAAACCTTAAAGAAGACCCACATAAATGGGAACTTCCATTAAAATTGCAATATGAAGCCTGATAAAGCCTAAAGTGTGTGAAAACTTCAGCATTCTGTAAACACAGTTAACAAAAAGTCACAATGAAATTGAATTCACTAGCTGCTCTCTGGTTAGAAAAATTAAAAAAAAATTATCAAATATTCCAGCAGTGCTCCAAATGAAAAGGGTTTGCATTTAAGTGGCCACCTTTCTACAAAGGCCACCTGTGGTCATAAATATCTCACTATTGACAGAATTTTTTTTTAAAACCTACATAGAAAGGTCACCTGTATACAGTGACTATTACTTTTTCTTTGAGTGGGCTTACTAGGCAGGTATGACTGTATAAGGTTGTTTTTTCACAACACGAACCTGTATTTCTCGAACCCATCGATGAGCGCGGTCCACACCTTCCCTTGTTTCTCTGATATTACCGATGGGAACTTCTTCCAGTAATCTGCATCCTCACTATGGTTTCAAGAAAGAGATTGATAGAGATAAATCAATTTTTGGATTTACTTCAGAATAAATGTGATACAAAATGTCATGTCATTAATGTGGAGACAGAGTAATGTCATGATTAGGATTACATCCAACATACATTTAATCAGCTGTAATTAGCTGTTTCATATCTTCATAAATTGATAGAGATAAATTCATTTTTGGATTTACTTTAGGATGAATGGGGGTAAGAAATACCAACATTGCAATGATTAGTGATAGAATAGTGTCATATGATAACATTAAATTCATAAGTTTGCAGTTTATACACCATATGCGTAGTCCTGAAGAAGACAAACGGTCAACCTGTTAAAAACTTTTCTTTCTCTCGCTACTTATTTAACAGCTATATTTTCTTTTCCCTCTTATTTGTTTTATTTAATGCTTTTTGTTGTTTGGGCTTTCTAAGCATCAAATGAAAAACTTCCTTACCACCTTGCCTTAAAAACATTAACTTACCTTGAATCTCTGTCTTCTCCTGAAATGATGCGGAATGTCTGGTACTTCACTTTCTCCCTGTTTATCAAAGAAGAAAAAAATGAGTGAAAATACTAAGAATTAAAAAAGCTTCTAGAATAAATGAAAAAGGTATTGTACATTAAAGCTTCTTTTACAGGGAGCAATATCTATTTGAAGACTCAAGTTGAGTTGAATAAGGCTTTTTTTCAAATTTCTGTAAGCACTGACTATGCAACTCCATCAGCTACATCAAATTTGCCCAAATGTGTTACAAGGAATACAGATGTCATAAAATGAATTTCATCACCATCAACAAAATATCTCCCATCTCCCTCAAATGGGGCCTTGTGGCGTGCGCCTGTAGTCCAGCAAATAATGGAAAATACAAACTGATGGTGACGTTAAAGAGAGGTACCCAGATGTAAATAATCATATCTGATTGTAAAAAAAAAAAAAAAACACACACACACTCCCTCCCTCTCCTCAACTCACTTGGTAGGTTTCCTGTTCTCCTCCACAAACATCCTCATAGCACTCAAGGCATCGTTGGGATGGATGAGTTCCAAGACGTTGGACTTGGTCGACCGGACCGAGCCTGTCTCGCTCTGGTCCTGGCCCTGGCCCGTGATGACTGCTACTTCAGCATCGACTGAGTCCTAATGACAGAAGCATAGAATTACATCATAATGCGCAATGTCAATGATGCCATTGTTAAAGTGGGTGTGTTTCCAGTTTTTCATGAGCAGGTCAAAGGTCACACTTGGTGGGAAACCATTAATGGGTATACAAATCTGTACACATGCAGCACACTCGTAGTCTACTCAACAAATACCCCCCTCGTCTCTAGCTCAGAGAGTTTTCGGGTGTTGCAAATGTCAGATAAGGACTTTACCAGAAGAGGAAAAGACAGGGCATTACATCAAGCTTGTTGGTCGTAAAACTGAAGGCTTATCCCGGTGATTGACAACACCTATTATTGAGTACACACCCGAATGGTGTCAAATTCCCCATGAGACTCCACTTTTATGTGTCTTTAACAAGGTACAGTAAATAGTGGAATGATGCACATTTTTTTTTCTCGATATGTTTAATTTGGCAACATAAAATTATACCTGGCCTCATGCCTCTTGTAATGAAATTATGAAAAGGTAATCTCCATTAGGGTTTAAATCATTACCTGAAGAAAAAAAATATCTTAAATATATCCTGATAAAAAATATAGAATTGAAGGAAAAAAATGAAAGAATTAAAATGTAGCTCATTCAAGGCCACTTTCTCTTCAATTTCTCATTTCACATAAAATCATCATCTATGAGTAAACATATACATAAAGTCTGCATTTTGCAGCTGCTACATACATGTATAACACTTCTGTTAATAATCCAAACAGGGTTTCACAACAAATTTCTCCACATACTTTTGAGGTACATGTTAACAGCCACATTTTTCACAAAAGTAACGCAGATAGAACCTCAAATTATAAATTACTTCATAAGATTCACCAACTTCCTACATTTTATTCCTGTAATTAACTGAGCATACATGTAGTATAATGTCTTGTGATTTTTACACTATCAGTCTTAAAAATGAATAGCTAACATTTTCACACCATGACAATATTTACAGTACCTGAGCAGCGATTTCTTGGCTGCCTGGCTGATCTTCTGTTCCTTGGGCAATCTCCTATCAGAGAAGGAAAGTAACATGAGGTTGTTAGAAACAAAGCAAATCATCCACATTTATACCTACTTCAAATTACTCCACATGTATACAGCAGGGCAACACACTAATTTTATTTGGAAGGAGATCCGGACTGAACTTTTTAGAGTTTGTATGCATGAGACCTATATTAAAATGTTGAAATTGTGGGGTATGGCCTAAGATTTTGGGTGCCCATGTATTCTGAGAGCCTGTCAGTGATGAGCACTAAATACAGCATATCGATTAAATTTTTGGCATCTGAGCTTTCAAGGGCCACTTTCAAGTTTCAAATACATGTTTAACAAATGAAAACTTGAATGGATGTCCTACATTGTGCCAGGATTGAAAGCTACATGTGATCAAGTTGGCAATTAATGTAGAGATATTATCGTGGTCTTTCTCTTCATATTGCTTTGCCAACAATGTAGAAACAGTAAATTGATACAGTGAAACCTGTCTATATAGCGACCGCCCAAAGGAAGCACAAAAAGTGGTCTTTATAGACACGTTCGTGTAGCACATGTTTCAATGAGAAACCTTTTTCAAGGGAAACAAAAAATGTGGTCTCTGTAGACAGGTGGTCTTTCTTTGTAGACAGGTAGTCACGAAAGCAGGTTTGACTGTATTAGCATTACCGTTGACCATCTTCAAGACGAGACCTTACCTCTCCACCCTCCGGTACTTGATCATGATCCTTGCCATGCACGGCTTGTAGGAAGTAACCAGCCAACTTATGGATGTCCTCTTCAGTCTCGATGCCCAGAGCCTATTCATCCAAGAAAAGAAAAAAATTCATTGAGAAACAAAAAATTAATATTGAAAAGTTGACTACCCGGTACTGAATTCTCCTACACTCAAAGACTTAGTACAGGAACCACCCGGGCCCTGTTTCATAAAACTTTTTATGAATAACGAGTGCTAAGTTTCCATGACAAATTTGCTCTCGGCCAATCAAATGCCATGATTTCAGTACACTGCACATAGTAGCTGATTGACCAACCGAATGGTATGGGTGTAGTGTGTATTGGTCATTAGTTGGAATGAAAATAAAGATGAACTTACGGCAAAGATGGCGTCCAATTTCATGAGGCATCGTTCGTCCTTCTCCAGTGGGGCTAGGAGCTTGTTCAGCTTGGCCTCTACCAGGAAACCCTGCATGACAAGAAAGATTGTTACAAAATATATATATGTCCGTGTTAAATGAAATCCGATTTATTAAATGCAAAATAAAGAGTCTTTTATAAAGCTTTGATACTAGACTACAAAACGACAGTACTCCTCCTTAGATTGGTCTAGCAAATTAAATTTGCATATTATAAACATGGCCTTGAAGATAATTGATGGCATTTTGATAACTGAACTTGATTAGTACATGCATATATTATATTATTGAGCAAGTTCTTAAGTTAAATTCAGAGAGATGTCCTTACATCTTCTGCATGTAAACAAAGTAACTTGCAGAAATCATCAAGATATGGAGAACCTTACCGACTCGTCGCATATGAGCTCCAAGATCTGCTTCACGGTCTGGACCGACAGCCTGCGAGCCGCCTCCTCCTCGTCCCCCTCCGGCCTCTCCCTAGGGGAACCCTCCTCCCCTCCATCACCCCTCTCTGACTCCTGCACGCTCCCTTCCTCCATGTAGCTCCCGTCTGACATGACCTCCATCAGGACCTCATGGGCCGAGACCGGCTTCTTCTTGCTCTTCTCGGTCGTCAGGGGTCCGACGTTCTCCATGAAAGAGCTGCAAGAGGGAAGAGGGAAAAGAATGATGTCTCAGCCCCATCTTACAAAGAATTACGATTGATCCAAATCAATCTCAAGTCCTCCAATCAATCGCAAGTTTGCAGTCTCCTATCCCTTATGTACATAGTTGAGATTGATATCAATCACAAATAAGTTGCGTTTGATATCAACTCTTTGTAGAACGGGGCCCTGCATGGTCAATAAATGTTCTTATAAATGAAGATTCTGCATTATTCGTAGTAGGTGTTTGGGAAGTGATGGCGGCAGAAGATTTTTAATCATGGTGATTTTGGGTTGTGCTTTTACTCTAAAAAGCTGCATATATGCAGAAAGGAATGCCCTCTGATAAAACTAATGGTCTTGCAGTGGATTTTGCAAAGCCTGTTATATATGTTTGGCCAGAATGTCGCATTTCTATGACACATACTCTTGCAACAATAGCACCATGGTTAATGTCCTAAACTACACGAAACAGAATCCTTGACTTCCACCCTGGACCACACACTATCTAACCCTAACCCCAAGGTGTTAAGTAATAATCAAATTGTATAAGCATGATTGTTCTAAATTTTGAGGGGGTATTTTTTTTCCTTCATTCTATGCATTTTTTCTGCGAACAGTTTTAGTTCAAACATAGTGATCTTTTGTATAGCACTTTCACACAATCAGGTTTTTCTTGCAGTACAAAGCCTGTGAGTTGAAGGAGAAAAACAAATAGGGTAAACATTTTCAAGTATATCTACTCCGCCACCGTATGCATCAACTAATCCAAATGATGATAAAAAGAAGACAGGAGGGAATACTCACTGATCGGCAGGCGGTTGCCATGGTAACCCTAGCTGCTGCTCCGAGACGATGCGATCCTGCTCCATCAGCTTGGCACTCAACTCTCTGGCTTCCTCTTCATTCATCAGCCAGATGTCGTGGAATTTCTTGGTGTCTGTCGACTGGAAATGTCTGAAAAGGGAATGCAAAGTATGACATCACTTTATGGAAAATGTGCATTGGCAAGGGTTATACATGTATGAACCTGAAATCATATTCTCGGTGAATACACCTGTATATTCCAGACAACAATAATGTCACACTTAGAGACTTTAACAGCCTTTACAACCATCTGAAAAATCTAGTTTATCAGGATGACTGGACCTCTATGCATTTCTCTGCAGAAGGTTCTACATTGAACTAGAGTAACGTTTTTTTTATAACTTTTATAATCTGGATGGAATTTGAGATTTTTGTATATTTCCTATCTCATGAAGATATCAAATTTCTTTCCCTATCTCCCTCCCCCAATCTCTCTCTCTCTCTCTCTCTCTCTCTCTCTCTCTCTCTCTTTCTCTTGCTCTGCTCCATCTATCCCTATTCATCTCTGTTCTTAAATATTCTCCTTCTGTTTCCTCTAATTATCATTTACATATCACATATTTCCTCTAAAAGATCAGCCAACCAGTAGAACTTACTTTGATTTCTTCTGTAGTTCCTTAAACTGCTCAGTAATCCTCTTATAATCATCAGCCAATCCCTGGTTTTCTTCTTTGTATTGCTTCTCCTGCTTGGCTAGCTTGACCTTCAGATTGTTCAGCACGTCTTGTAATCTTCACCAAAAAAAGGGAAAAACAATATCGCACATATTATTATAGAAAGTTGGGCATTGGTGGTTCTTACATTCACTGAGGTCAAATTCACAGGTCACTATTCATAAGTCTTGCATATATTGAGGACAAGTTCACAGGACATTATTTATAGAACAGACTACCTGAAACATAATGAGGTCTACTGAACAATTAATTAATTAATACTTGTTCATTCAATATATTACAGGATTGTGGTTATATTTATGGAATATAGCGGTCGACTTTTCTCCAGTCTTATGAAATTCATCCTGCCAACACACCCAACAATTCGAAAGCAGGATCCAAAGCAAGGGTTGCAATCCAAATATATTCTTACTTTTACATGGCACACATCTGCAATTGGTTATCAAAATCAGTATTGACAGTCAATATTTCCAAGTTTACCTCCTAAATTTCCTCTCCTGCTGCTCAACAGGCAAGCTTTCACTGCTGGATACATCCACTATTTGATGCCAATAATATATGTATTGATATCAATGCATCTACAATTTGATATACAAATATCAGCACTGATTGTCAATATTTTGAGTTTACCTTGTAATTTTTCTCTTCTGCTGGGACTTTGTGATGGTGTTCTCCTCATCTCTCTTCTTGAGAACCTGAAAGTTGTATTCTAACTTCTCTTGGTTGAGCTGGTAAGTTGCCTTCATTTGCTGCAGCTGCTGTTCAAGTACCTATGGGGGGAGACACAAGAGAAATGGTACCAGTCAACAAATTATTTGTAAATAGGGTCACAAGTGCTGATAATAGTGAATAGCACAATAACTTTGTCTTTGATTTATATAATACAAATTACAAAGTGAAATGTTAATGCACATCGTGTCTTACAAAATTCCCATTGAAATCAATCAATTTAAAAATATTCAGTTTTTCACACTTACTGTTCAAGATTACGAATAATGAACTAGAATTTGATTATTTAAAAAAATATACAAAACACATAAAAAGAAAGATAAGGAAATCAGTCGATCACTAAAACTTTTTACAATTTGCTGATTCAAATAACCCACTTCCTGCATGCTTTGTTCTGAATGTCTTTTACATTCCATCCAGTTACATTTAAAATGAAGTAAGGATGACAAAAACTCAGCATACCCTTTATTGCCTGCTTCAGCAACCTGAATAGAAAGACTATCTGTTTTTAGAGACATATTTATTTCTTTTTTTAAGTGTTTCTCATCAAAATCTGTCCATTAAGACCACTTGCCTGTGAGGACCACTTTACCATCTCCCTTGAGGCATTGTCTTTACATACATGTTTGAATGCACATACACAGTGAAACCTGTCTATAAAGACCATGTCTTTAAAGACCACACAAGGAGACAAGAAAAGCGGTCTTTACAGGCAGGTGGTCTTTAAGGACATGTTCCTTTAGTACATGTTTCAATGAGAAACCATTTTCAAGAGAAACAAAAAATGTGGCCTTTGTAGACAGGTGGTCTTTAAGGACAGGCTCCTTGAGTACATGTTTCAATGAGCAACCATTATCAAGGGAAACAAAAAATGTGGTCTTTGTAGACAGGTGGTCACTAAAGCAGGTTTGACTGTAAATAGAAAATTCATATTTCTGATAAAAATAAAGGAGGAACTGACCTGCACATCGGTCTCCAGCTTGATCTTAACCATATTGTACTCCTCTGCATCCTGGATCCTAAGATGCTGGATCTGCTGCTCGTACTCCTCCACCCTCTTCTCCCTCTGATGCATGTAGTCCAGCTCCTGGTCCCTCCTCCCTCCCATGGCCTGGTCCCACTTACGCTTGTTGTTGTCCAGGAGCTCCTCCCTCTCGGTTTCAAATGCTCTCTGTTGTTTTAAACAAAAATAGGAAAATAGATAAATTGTAAATTGTCTTTTTTGAGAATCAGTCTATTTTGTTTGTAATAGCGCTTAGAGACTTCGGTGGTAAGCGCTTTATAAGTAACGTTTTTATTATTATTATTATAATATCTCAATTACTGTTCCTTATTTGATTGTTATGATTTGTATGTTTCTTTTCTGTTGTAATAGCGCTCAATAAGAGTCAATTATTATAAGTAGTATTATTAGTATTTTTGCTGATGTGATTATATGTGTTTCCAACCTATACATCACAGCTAACATTGGCCCATAATTGCATTAGTTACTAGCAGTTGTGCTTACTTTCAATTATAGCAGTTGTGCTTACTTTCAATTATAAATGTCCCATTATATGTATGGAATTTTCTTATTTTCATATTTTCTGATACTAATGTCTTTTGCCACACTCAACCCATGTGATGTAAACGGGTACCTGGCAGGAATTCATTACTAGAAATGCTAGAGCGCCGTAATGGCAGCCTTGCTAAAGCTTGGTTAATAACCGGGAGCACCAGGAGTGTCACGTGTGACAGACATGAGCGCTATACAAGAACCCACAATTATTATTTTATGTTATGTTATCCAGATGATTATATCACTTGACTATATCATCACCCACAACAACAGGGGTAGCTGATTCAGAGTTATTATCTCAGGATTAATTGCCAATGTTTAGTTTTGATTGTTTATCAATGTAGCCTGGAACATGAGAATAAAGCATCCCTCAAGCTTTTTAAAGAAATGATCATCATCTAATAGAAATAACTCTTTAAATTATAACAAAGCATTACCCTTTGGACTGGCGGCAACTAAAGGAGCTTTCGCATCATGGTCCCTGTCAGGCATTCTCATCCCACAACTACACAATGCTATCAACACATCGAGTTACACCTACATCATGAACATTTTATGGCGTAGTGACTCGAGAAGAAGAAGAAGGCCCTACAGACTGACACCCCATCTTTTACACTCACCTCGATCTGTTTGAGTTCATCTCGGTAGGCTTTCATGAGATTCTTGACCTGTTCTTCCATTCTCTCGATCATGAGATCGATATCTTCGGCTTCTTTCTTCAGGTCTTTCACGTACTGGTCATCTTGAGACTTCAATTCCTGCAAGACAATCAATGTAAATGGACTTAAACGTTTCCTTCTTTTTTTCCATGTTTTGCAGTAACAATTCGGTTGAAAAGTAGTAGCTATATTCATAATGCTTAACAGCCTATCTGCACTAGTTTGCCCAGGAGGGATAAGAACTCCCTGCGTGGTCACTGGCAGGTGGTTATCTCATCAAATCAGCTCTCAATTCACATTATAAGAAAAAGTGGACCATGGGGGATCAATGGGTACCGCTTAGGCACCGTTGGCTATATATAGAGGGCGCAAGTAGCTTCAAGTAGTGTAGTCCTGCTTTAATAAATGTCCATTCAAAGTGATGCTCACAACTAAAGATTGGGCTTACTACTATTAATAACTGCTGATTGGAATGCTTCCGTTTGACCGACTTTAAATAAATCATGTGGTGGCAACTTGGGCAATTAAAAGTACATTTATGTTGCCTACAGATGTTTTTATATTTGGGGTCCCATCCTATAGCACATGGCTATTAAGTTACAGGCTACCAATCTGCTCTAGTTTGCAGGAGTTTACTAAGTGATTTCCTATGGCCTATTATCTTCCATTACCTTTCCATCCAAGATAAGTTACCACTGAACAGATCAGTAAACAATTACCAAATTGGGAAATACCTGTTGCCGGTGCTCATATTCATATTTTGGACGTACAGTGAAACCTGTCTATGAAGACCACTCAAGGGAGACAAGAAAGTTGTCTTTATAGGCAGGTGGTCTTTCTGTACAGGCTCCTTTAGTACACATTTCATTGAGAAACTATTTTCAAGGGAAACAAAAAATGTGGTCTTTCTATACACAAGTGGTCACTAAAGCAGGTTTGACTGTAGTAGAATTATTTACCATTTGAAAGTCATTGATGAGCTTGTTCTTCTCATCTATCATGGCATCACAGAGTGCCTTCTGCTGCATCAAGATATCATGAAGCTCCTGTGGAATGTCTCTCCCGTTAGCCTGCTCCCAGCGCTTCGTGATCTCCTCAAAGCGCTCCATGCCGGCCTTGGCCTCTGCTTCAAGCTTTTCATCCCTGAAAAAAGGATAAAGATTAAAAGAATGCACGAGAATAATAATAAGAAATCCGTTTCATCCTCTTTTCATATATTTGTATTTGTAAGCACTATGGTACTTATTCTATATTCTATTATTATTATTATTATCATTAGAAATCTGGATTTATTACCCTGGTCATTAGATTCATTCACACACAATGGGTGCACCTTCTCCACTCCCTGGGGAGTATTCAAACCATATGATCACTGTAAGGGCATATGGTAAATTACTGTCACAAAGGCTTTTGCCATCCTACCAGGTCTCTATCCTCTATGATAATGAAACATACACTTACAGCTAAATATGCTAACAAATATTCATAGAATTGAAGCACATTTTATGTAGATCGAAGCCCCATGAATTTTTCACGGACAGACATTCAACAAACTTTGAAAGTAACGAGTGTTGATAAAATCTGGTGGTAATGGTGTCAATTATTTTAGAATCAAATTTAATGTCTGGTCTCATGACTTGACAAGAATTAAACATAGGATCCGGTTCCCTTTGTCTAGCTTTTCTTTCTTGAAAGGGTGTAAAAAAAAAATATATAATAATAATTTTGGTAAGAATAACTATGAATAATTATGTTGTTGAACTGGATGCATATTTATTTCACAGCTCACTCAAATCAACCAAAGATAAATTACATGGGTGATACCTCAATTTTATCTTGATCAAGGCATAATATTTTGTTGTTGTTTTTTCACTGTAAGACTTTTCTCATGGTTTAAATGCATTGATACTTGACAAATAAAATGAAATAAAATACAATAAAATGATTCCATTTTGACACTTGGTTAGATTATGAGACACAAAGTGTGGGAAAGGGTTGGGCTTTACCCACAATACAACAAAAATCAATGTACCTTTGTCTCTGTGTTTCCTCTTCTTCTGCCCTTCTCTGTGCTTCACGAGAATCAGCCGCAACCCGAACATTGGTCACCAACTCAGTCCCATGGCTTTGAAGTTTGGTCAACCTCTGTAAAGTTCAAGAAATATTGTAAGAGATTAATAAATGTAAATCACTACTGACCTTATGTTCATAAGCTTACTAGTGAATTAACATAACAGGCACTTTGAACTGTTACTACAAAAATTCGGGTGACTCGTTATTTTGGCAGAGATCCCGGCAGTTGACCTATTCAAACTATTAAGAAATGGTATCCGACTACAAACATTCTCACAATATCATCTTCTATTAAATGAAGATGAATCACAACCCTAAAATTTCATATATTTACAGATATTCCTATCTCCTAATTGACATTTAGATTGAGCCAATGTCTTCTTATAGTACTATCTAAAGGATTATTTTTCATTCAAGATAGCAAAGGGCAAGCCTGTGCTACCAGATGTGTAAAATTATTTTGTGATTTGATTTATACCTGTCTGCTCTCCTCAACTTGCTTTCTACTCTTGCTCGCTTCTTCTTTGTCCTCTTTTTTCTTTGCACCGGGGTCCTCGCCAAGTTTCTCCCTGAAAAGAAAAGTTAAAAAGACATGTTGGAATTCCCAGAGCTGGATTAAAGACAAGTTAGGGTAGCGCGCCCAGTATTCGGTCTATTCCCAGTATTCGGTCAGACAGCTGTTTCAACAGCTGTAACAATTTAAAAAATAATTTATGAGCCATGAAACTTGCACAAATCAGGCAGCTGAACAACTTTTCTTAATACTCAAAATTAAATCAGATTTAGGGCCCCGGAAAGATCTCCAACTTAGCTCGAAATTGGTCAGTGTCGCACAACTTTCCGCACTTCCGCGTTCTCTTAGCACATGCGCTAACATGCATAGCCATATGTAGAAGTCTATTGCGACAATGAATTTAGTATGTGTGTGAAGAGAATCACTTCCGTGTTCGCTCCATCGCAGCAAATTTGCAAATGACGCACTTGCCGATGTGCAAGAGGTATTTATACGATACCCTTGCCATGCGGTATCGCTCAGCCAGTATTCGGTCAACGCATTGACATTCAGTGCTTTATCGCGCAATTGTGTGAAAATAGTGTGCAAATACGCTACGCTCCTTTGCAACGGAGATACCACGCACAAATCGCGTGACCGAAATGCTCCGTCTTCTTTCGGAAGTATTTTGCTTATCATTATTCTATATTTTAAGCGACTAGATGTCTATAAAATCCTGTTAGAGGAATAAATTTCTTTTCTTTTGATGGGTAGATTGCCAAATAAAAGAGGTAAGAATTCAAAATATTAGTGATTTCCCCTTAAGTGACCGAATACTGGGCACTCTACCCCACATTGATCCTATAGTTTCTTTTCTCTTCCTGCTTTCTCTTTGCCTCCATTGTTTATTATGACTTAAACAAGAGTCTCCTTTCATTTGACATGAGATTAAGAGGAATCTGGGGAAATCTTGACAATCAAGTATCAAGAAACCGTCAACTTGTTATGTTTCAATGTCCTTTAAGTAGGGTGTCTGAACGATTTTTCAATTTTCAATTTGGGATCGTTTTTCACCATTTTTGTTTGATATTGGAATAACAAATGTAATCAGAATAATACCTTTCAAATTTCAAGACTCACCGATGTTTCTATCAAAAGATACAGCCCCTCAAAAATTGTGCAATATTCATAGCATTTTGGTCAGAATGGACAGAAAAGTGGTTCACGCAGAGTTATAATTTCTGCTCAAAAGCTGCACAGCTAATGCACAGCACGATATGCAAAGTGTGGAGCAAGGGTATTTTCAAACTGTTGTAACAAATGATCCCTTGGGACTAGAGAAAAAATAAGTGCATGGATATATTCTTTACAGCTGGCCCAACTTATCCCTCGGGGGAGCAGTTCGTGAAATTGGTAAATCTCCGAGTTACCATGGAAACGATGTTTAAATCGCTGTTTTGAGCAAGATATTTTTAGAATTCCGGGGGTGGCCCCCTATGGGGAATATGGAGAAAAACCTGCTCTTTCATATGACACCACATTTATTGAGTTTCACCTTCAGGATCATTTGTTATAAAGGTTTGAATTTCAAATTTTTCATAAAACCATTGACCAATTTTGCTTGGTCGCGCAATGCATGTAGACCACATAGGGATGTGTGCAATCTCTATGGGAAAGATTTTAGCACACAACATCGGGTGCGCGATCAGACACCCTACTTTAAGCGGCCTCTGAAATCATGCACAATCACAATGACAAAAATTAACATGATTAACACAGGTAAGAATTAACAACAACTTTTCATGACATGACCATTATTAAGGCATTATTTGAAGACTTGATGATCATGAACATTAAGTTGATTTTTGGTGTGATTCAACTTTATGTTAAAATTGTTAGATCTACTTGGGTATCGAATTTGGTGTCATATGATTTATAAAAGGGCTTGATACCGGCGCGGCAGTGCAGCGTCAGGGACCAACCCGCAGACCGGCCCGCAGCTCGGGGCGGAGTGGCGCAGGCGAAGTCCGAAGATGGCTAAAAAAAAATCTAGAAAATCCTACCTCCTCGCTGCTTCGACTCTTTTAGTTATCCTAAGGCGTCTGGCAGCAATACGTTCTTCTGGGTCAGTAGAATCAACAGATGGTCCTGTATCCTCCTCTTCATCATGGGAACTCATTTTGAACTAATTTAAGATGACTAGCTGCACGAAAATTCTGAAATTCACACACAAAACAAATGGGATTATCGTTAACGTGTGTGTTGCTATGGCCTTTTTGATCAGCCTCTTTCACATCAATCAAAATGACGATTAATGCATTTCTGTAAATTACTCTAATCAAACAATATTTACCATTTTAAAAACTTATTTAGGTTTTATTTATATATGTGTCTATATAATTTTGCTATACTAGATTTTATGGAATGATTAAATGTCTAAAAACAGAGGAATACAATTTTTATTAAATATCACTCTCTTACTATCAAACATGGCGGTGAGCAAGTAGACTATGTGAAAATATGAGTTGAAATCCATCGCATCTTCTTTATAGGAGACAATATGTCACTAAAAATACAGTATTTTAAGAAAGCTTTATGATTGTATGATGCATTTCTGCTAATATTTTTATCTTTAAAAGCTTTACAACTGCAAATTTAGCAATTGTACACTTCGAATGAGTCGTGGTGATGGTCTACGTAGAATACCTATGTAGCCTGTGCACTAATACATTTCCTTCGCCCTTTGCGGAACAAAATGATATTTCATTGTAGATACTCACATCTTCCCATCATTATTTCATTGTCCTGTGGTGTTATTTTACTTATTTATGTACTATGATGCGTTGTCATTAGACATATATCGGGTAATGGGCGAGAGAGTGGGCCAGGAGCTGTTAATGTCATTAATTGTTGTGGTCCACTGGTCCATCCAGGCAGCGGCAGCACGGCCGATTTGCGAGACTCCCTGAAAATTAAATCCATTAATTATGAGAGACTGTCTCGCGTATTTCGCTCACAAAAGAATTAGAGGAACAACATTAACAAAGTTTTTCCCAGCCAAATTTTGCTTCTCAAAGCTCGGGAGCCCATACTTTTGGCATGCAAAGTGTTCATGGTGTTGTGTGAATCAACTCTCAACAAAAACCGTTGTGAAAACAAAGTTGATGAAATGTTTGGGCAATTTTTCATGAAGAATCTACTCATCAGTAGGGGGTGCTGGTCCGAGAATAAGGATCCTCCCCTTTAACATGGACAGATGCGTCCTCAAAAATAAGGACCGTTTGCATTTTCGCAGACGTTTCATATTTTTGATCGGCGCATTGGCGATGCAAAAAACGGATTCTGCAGTGATTTTCTTGATGCATTTTACATTGACATTTTAGAGACCTTCACATTATGAGCAATAAATCCTTGGAAAGACGGACAACCCATAAAAGTAGACGGTGAACTAGGGTTATTTTCTCCCAGGGAATCCATTTTTGGCATCACCAGCGGGCCGTTCTGTAACATGAAACCCCTAGAGCGCCGATGATGAAAAAAAAGATGAAAGTGAAAGAGATATTGGAAATGGAATTTGGAGACTTGTCTCCCAAATGAGTTGAGAACTTGAGATCCCATATTGGCCATGTGCCTCTACGGCATGTTGCCTTGTGACAAGTTAATGATCAGTGAAGGACGGAGTCCGCGATGATGCTCCATGATGCATTTCTCATCGACGCAGCACAGAGACTTTCATGTTATGAACGATAAATCCTTAGAGTCTAGAGAGACAGACCACCCGTAAAAAAGTAGACGGTGAATTGGGGGGTATTTTATTATGTGGAATCCATTTTTCGCATTGCCAGCACGCGGATGGGTTACTTTACACCCATAGAGTGCCAAAGAAAAAAGACATCCCCTCAAATGCGGACGATCCTTATTTTTTAGGACGCAATTTGTCTGTAGCGCCAGTACCATGCCCGTACTGGTGAAAGGCCATTGTTTACGAAGATGTTAAATGGTCGTTTCAATGGGAAGTCGATATGATGTCTGTCTAAAAAATATTAAATAATAACCAGATATTGAAACAGATTTTGACAGTCCATCCATATTGTTACATATTTCATCCACAGGACAAAGGCGACAAGGACAAGGAGAAGAAGAACGTGATGCGCGAGCTGCGCATCCGCAAGCTCTGCCTCAACGTCTGTGTGGGGGAGAGTGGTGACAGACTCACCCGTGCTGCCAAGGTTCTGGAAGCTCTGACTGGACAATCTCCAGTCTTCTCCAAGGGTAGGTGAAATCTTGTCTTGTATTCTCTGAAAGTCTTGGTGATACAGCAATAAGGATTTATCCGCTTCCACTTGTTTAATGCCTCAGTCACCCCTTTGTGTTTGGCTTGCGTATTTATGGCAAGCCGTTTTAACATTTATTCCTATTTCTTGATACCAAGATTAATATCTGTTGTAAAGCAATGGTAATTCTTGATATCAAGAAATTGGAATAAATGTTAAAATGGCTTGCCATAAATGTGCAGCAATATGCCAGCCAAATACGCAAAGGTGCGACTGAGGCATAAGACTTTGAATGGTGGACGTGGAAAGAGAAGTGGTGTATTGTTGAGGATTGATAAGATAAGTACCGTCATGTGTATCTTGATTTTGATTCAGTGAATGGATTCTATTGTTAATGGTGCTGCAGGATTGATGATGTGTATAAATTGATCATACAAAATATGAATGAGAAAACCGGGTTTTGAAAAATAACTTCCTGGTTTTTTCTGTCGATCATCTTGGACATTTATAGCATGTGTACATGTTCGGGGTAGTGTAAACATTCTCCTTATGATGAATAAGTAATATTCATGTTGCATTTCAGATTTAAAACACCAAACCATTCAATTTTCGGCAGATCAAACAGTCCATTCTACAGACTTTGTGAATGGTTATATTAATGTTGAAATAGTTATTTCTGACTCGCATAATCTCCTTTTCAGTTCAAATGCACTCATGTGTATATTGGTAGCAGGTTTTTCAGTATCACTGCCAAATCACAAAAATTTTACTGTGTGCAAATAATATCTTCTCTACTTTGCAACCTATGGCTTTCCTTCCCCTCTATGATTGCCATGGTACTAGTTCAGAGATACATTCTAAGGTTTGATGAACTATGATTGTAATCTGCTTAAAAATTCGTTAAAATGATAGTAGACTGTTGATTTCTTTATGGAATGAGAACATGGCATTGATAATGTGGGGTCTTGTAATCAATCTGTCTAGATGTATGATTATTAGAGCAACAAAAATTTGGCTATGGTCACCTTCTGGGATGTTTTATTAATCGTCAAAAAAAAAACTTTCTCATATATTACACCGGAATGCTCTGATTTGCAGTTGTTATATAATGTCACAAACTATAATACAATGCTGAAGACCAGAGTTGGCACATGATTAATTCTCTTCCAATATTTTACACTGCTGATAATTCTCCATTCTTTTTTGTCCTTCATTCCTTCATGCAGCCCGCTACACCGTGCGATCTTTTGGCATCCGTAGGAACGAGAAGATTGCCGTCCATTGCACCGTTCGTGGTCCTAAGGCCGAGGAGATCCTTGAAAAGGGATTGAAGGTACGATAGAAGATATTTCGTCTGTTTAGAGTAAGAAGAACGTTAAATCATATCACTGTACACATAGTTATCGCCGTTTTGGCTCCGAACACAATGTGTTGTATTTGTATCTTTGCAGTTTAAAGTCATTCAGGCTTGTGTGAATAGTCAAAGTAAATAGTCGAAACTTTTTTGGGGGATTTGCACTAGTGCTGTAACATCACGGATATCTCCAATTCCGTTTAACCGCCAGTCAAAAGCGGACAGTTTTCGGTTAAACAATTTATTTAAAAAAAAAAAAAATTTAAAAATTTAAAAAAATCATTTTTTTTTTTTTTTTTTTTGACCGACTGTGAAAAAAACCCATGCGGGAAGGATATTCATTTAAAAGAACATTTAGAAGAATGTGTAAGATCATTAATGTAAATTAAAAACATTAGAGGACCAAGGATAGATACGCCGTGTGTAAAAGTTGGATGAATTATTATTATTATAAACTACATATTGAGATCTATTACAAAGATTACTTTCAAACCAAGATGACAGACAAATTGGAGAGTTGTTCTAGTTTCGGAGTGTTGAGTCAACGCACAGATTACTGAGCTGGTAGACATTGCCAGGCAAAGTATTCGGTGGAGGGGCATATATAAATCGAAACTTTAAAAAAAAAAATTAAAACAATTTTTTTTTTTTTAAACTGGAAAACGAAACCGTCCAATTGAAAACGGAATCCGCCATGGGCGGTCGGATACCGGACGGTTAAACGTTTGACTACAGCACTAATTTGCACTCTCCTCTTTTTGTCCTTGTTGCGCCTTATGATCAGAACTGCACTATTTTTCACATTAATATTTCTACACAGTTACACGTTTTTCAAGTGCTGATTTTCAAATTCAACCCACTTTGTTATGCAAATTGTTCGTGTCGTATCTTATATATCTTAACACTATTTTAGAATGTTTATAGCATGCAGAGTATTTGCTTCTCAAATACTATTATAAATTGCCATGGAAATTCCATTATGTTTTTGAAAACATATGAAAAAAGAAAAAAATTCTTGGTGTAAGATCTTGACATTTACTGCAATCTCACTTTTATCCCAGGTTCGTGAGTACGAGTTGCGCAAGGGCAACTTCTCCTGCACCGGCAACTTTGGCTTTGGCATCCAGGAACACATCGATCTTGGAATCAAGTACGACCCTAGCATCGGAATCTACGGCATGGACTTCTACGTTGTCCTTGGGCGACCCGGGTTCAGCGTGGGCCACAAGAGGAAAAGGAAAGGCCGCGTCGGCAGCAGCCATCGCGTCAACAAGGAGGAAGCCATGAAGTGGTTCCAGCAGAAGGTAAGTACAGTGGAACAGCGTTTAAACTAACTCCTGGGGGGGGGGGGGGGGTGTTTCACAAAGATCCTAAGTTGAACTTATCTCTTACGATTAACAATTATGGAAAGCCGTTAGCATCTTTGAAATATTTTGTTAGTTATTTCAAAGAGCATTAAATATTTATTCAAATCATTCATACTTTCTATTTTCAAAGAGATTCATGTTCTTGATGTGGAATTTATGAAAAGTCTAAAATACTTGGAATATTTGCTTTTGAATATATTTCATTATAAGGCCCACAAATTGCTTTCCATAATTTTTAAGTCCAACTTAGAGTTAAGTCGACTGAAAATCTTTGTGAAACACCCCCCGGTCAGCAATGAGTTTGTTATCTCAAGGTTCCTCTGCATTCATATTTAGCAATTATACTATGGTTATTTACAGGTACTTTCTGAGATATTGCAGGCATAACTCATGGATATTTTAAAGTAATTTAATTTAAAGCAATTTATCATCTGAATTCAAAAGAAATTTTGGTACCACGTTGCTATGTGATTTCCTTTCAAGTGTTTAAATGTTTTCATGAATATTGAACCCCCAATTTCTTTGAAAATAGAATTTCTTGTTACCTTGATATTTTTGTTAGGAAGATATTTTGAATTCCTGGATTTCCGACATATCATCTAGAAGTATCATCTCACTCTAAATTTATGGGGATTTGATTGTGACATTCATGAATTCTTGGACATTCTTTTTTGTGCAGTGATATTTTCTAATTCCATCTCTCTCTCTGTTTATTATCACACAGTATGACGGAGTCCTCCTCCCTGGCAAATAGGCAGCCTCTTCCAGCCTATCTTCCCCACACACTCCTCACAAACTCAACGATGAATCCGTACCTGACCAGGAATCATCACTCCATCTGTATCTTGTCTCTCAGGACATTGCCGCCTTGACACCATGCCATATCTGTACACTATGTTCAATAAAGACTCATGAACAGCCAACCATTGTTCAGCTCTCAGAGATTCCTTTGTTTGCTCTATCTAGACTCGCACTGTATCGAATGGGTTCTATGTGATTTGCTTCGGTGATAATCAGTGAGATCAATTGCCGCCAAAAGCAATTGTGGGGTCATAATCATAGTGATGTATTGCCACAAAGCCTGGACAAAGTGGTAGTATCTCTTATCACGGTATATGCTTTAAAGTGATATTCAGCATACACATTTCTAAAAAGAAAATGGACAAGAGGTGAGAGAGTGAAAACATTAGAAGACCGAACCGTAGGTGTAACCCTGTTCCCACTTGAAACTTAACTTTGTCTGGACTTTGTGGCAAAACATCAGAAATGTACGAGAGAGTTCTGTGGACAGTGAGTGACGATGAGGGCTTGGTGATGTGGTAGTAGAGAAGTGTAACTACTGTAGTTTGCAATCATCTTCAGGAATTGAGTAATAAGTAATTTCAGTACAAATTAAACTTTTTATTCTTCTCGGAATCCTGAAGAAGTGAATCTTTAAAAAATTGTTCAACTCTATGGCCCATATTTCTGTTGCTTTGCTGAAATCCAAGTGACATATAAAGTCATGCCAAACGAAAGGAAAACTTGACCCTCGGTTCAACTTCCTTGTCAAACTCGACTGTAGACGGAGCGAAACCCAACGGTGAAGGTTTAAAATCGTGGGTTAATATGAACCCGATGTTAAATTGGTTTAATAGAAGCAGAAAAATGAGGGAAACTGGTCTGTTGAGATTTGAGCAAAACCCATAACAAATTTTAAAGTTCAGAATTTCTGAAGGTCCTATCAATCGGACACAAATTGGCAATTCTGTGACATTTCTTGCAAGGTCCCCGGGGTCCCATTTTCTGTTATTCGATCATACATTCTGATTTTCTCACCCTAAATATGATAATTGCAAATATATTTGTATACAACCCCTTCATGAAACGAATATATTTCTTCATCAATAACTAAGAAAATAAAAGTACATAAAAATTTTTGTACAGAGCAAATTGGGAGAGGAGCTCGCAAGATACATCACAGTGTTGCCAATTTGTGTTTGACTGATTGAGAACTTCAAAATTCTTAACTTTCCAATATTTAATCATTTATTGCTCAAACTTCCACTATCGGGTAATTTGTTTCTCTAACTTTTTCTGCTTTAATTTAAACCAACTTAATAACAGGGGGAACTTTCCTTTTAATGATTTTGGGCTTCAAGTATTGGGAATGTCCTAAGCTGTCTATGATTTCATTAGCGATTCCCTGGAAATGTTTGTGATTGTGTTGTATCAAGTTTGCATTTGGGGCTTCTTGCATGAGAGTTGCGCCTTGCTAACATACGACGGGATGATCCGCTTTAGAGGACCCTCCAAGGCCTTCATGGCAGACTACAAATAATTTTATGTGTAAAATGGGAAGTGAAGGTGTACAAATTAAGCTACATGCAAAGGCTCCCGAAAGTGTGAACATATCTCTGTGTTTTGCAAGATACAGATATGTGAAGCACAGTCCACTTTTACCAATTTGTTCTAAAGGGTTGGTAGCCACAAACAAATTGATGCCAAAATTTCACTTAAATTGAACAATAATGTGCACAGGGATGTCATTTAAGCCACACTTCTGCAAAGATTTTCAAAACAAATGTGTTAGAAGATGAATAATAAGGAAAGAGCAAAGAGCACACAGTTTTGGTTTTCTGCAAACAGAAAACTCAAATTTGGTATTCTATCAATATTCGATTTCAAATACGTTTTGGGGGGAAAATCTTTGCAGAAGTGTGTGTTTTAATGCCATCCTCTTTCACATACCGGTAAAATTGAAGTGAAATTTTTGGGATTAAACTTTTGGCGAGTTTAGGGCTCCCAACGCTTGTGGGGCTTTAAGTTTGGCAGTATGTTTGATGGATTGAGGCTCTGGTTTATCACGTGTGAACAAGGTCCAATCAAATGGAAAAATGAGAACGGATAAATAATGATTATGTGTTGGGTGTGGTGAAGAAAATGGGAAAATGTTGTCTCATTCTCCCCCTTCTCTCTCTCTCTCTCTCTCTCTCTCTCTCTCTCCCTTTCTCTTTATCTCATTCCTTTCGGTAACATAAATCTATAAAACATAACTAATATAGCCTTGAGGAGCATTTCAATAATTACGACAAACAATTCATTTACAATATAGATTTTGAAAAGGAAAGATGGAAAATGAAAAATAATGTATTAGTCTGTCAACATCTAAATTGCTTACCTTTATCTTTAACTTGGCTTGAGGGCTCTCATTGATTTAAGTGTTGAATTACATGTACGAGTACATATATGCGATACGAAACAACAATCAAATGAATTTTTCATTTTTATTTATCACTCCTATTTAAATAGGGTAACCCATTCACATGACTTGGTTTTCAATGACATTTGACAGTTAAAACAGACCGGGTATGTTGGGGAAAAAACTAGAGGAAAGGAACATAAATGAAGAAAGAGGCAATTAAGAGAAAGGTAAATGATCAGTTCATACGCAGTAAAAGTTACATTGAATAATATAAGACATTTTACACCAGGCCATTTGAATACATTGTATTTTTTGATAATATACAAATAACAAGTAAATTATAATATTCGTGAAAATTAAAAGGGTAATCCTTGCAAATATAATCCACAATCATAATGCAACTAAATTGTAAAGAGGGAATCCGGCACAAAAAAAATGCTCAATATGGCTTACATTTATATTCAGGGATTTATTTCACATTATGAAATAGGTATGAAAGAAATATACACGATAATGGCCAAACGACTTCCAGGTAAAGTCTTGAATTAAAAAAACACCCAGGAAGAATAATAGAAGCGGAGGGGGTGGGGGGGGGGGGGCTGGAGCTGCGAGAATGTTGAAACTGGTAGCTGTCACCTCACTATTTTGGCAGCGAAGTAGCCACAGTCCCTTTGTAAGTGCACATTTCAATGATGAAGTCCTTATAAATGAATTCACAAAATTCGATTGCACTATGATTAAAAGGTGTTAACATTTATGCTGTCTCGAAAAATGTAGAAACGGGAAGAGAGTTTATTTTGGGTAAGCGGAGACGTCAGCCAGTACTTGGTAAAGTTGTGCCCATTCGCCCCAGTGGCGTCAAAAGGGAGGGGGGCGGCACCCGTCGATTTATCCTCTGTAGATGAAATGCGATTTTAAGAGGCCATTTGTTAGGTGGGGGTATGCGGGAGGGGACCCTGTCGTCTGCCTTTACTCTCTCTCTCTCTCTCTCTCTCTCTCTCTCTCTCTCTCTCGTCCCTTTCCCTTCCTCCTTTCTTCCCTATTTCTTTCTTCTTTTCCAACTTTCTTCACAATTCGATGGACAGACCGAGGAACGCCCCCCCCCTGTACCTACGTCACTGCTTACGCCCGTGGCAATTAGTAACACACCAATTTCATGATTTACAGTATTTCCATCAATCATATTTTTGCTCTTCCCAATAAGACACATGAGACCGCCCACTTCGTCTTCGACTGTATTCGTGTGGAAAAGGACAAATCATGAGCATGTTCACCTTGTCCTTGTATCAATAAAACCAAACAAGTAACGTTACACGACATCACAGAGCAACTCTTGCTCTTAGCTTTTAGCAAGGAACAAATTAAATTAAATTCACTTTCTGACAATCGAAGCCGCAGAAGTCAGAGATATCTAGTTGCTTTTGCTTTGGAGGTACATGTGCATGAATTTGAATCGTTTGTTTCTCGTGCCTTTGGCAGAGGTAAGTCAATAGGGTAAACCAAACGAATGTTGTGCATCATGCTACTCTCATCGAGCTTGACGATCTTCATTCAAATTCTCCTCTCTCTAGGTAAGATATAATACAAGTTCTGATTCTAAGTAATTTATGAATATCATTACTCGATTCCGCTCCTGTTTGCACCTTTTTTATTCGATTATTCTTTTCTTTGTCAACCCTCCTGTTTGATGTTTTCGATTAGTTACAGCCAGCCTTACTTTATTCAACATATATTCTTTTGTCATGTGTAAATTTACAATGTTTGTTTGTTATATATTTGTAAAAATGTAAAAGAAAAAGAAAATCAAACAAAAATAAATAAATCAATCAATCAAATCAATTAATTCTCATTATTCTAGGCCTATTAACTAAATACACCATTGAGTGTGATTTATTTTATTTTTATTTTCCTCTTTTTATAGAAATTATTGTGACGATAGGTTTTAATCTTGCTTGGTAGATAAAGTTTATATCTTGTCGGTACTTCGATGATCGCCCCACAGAGTCATAGAGATTGGTCAATAAAGCTCTAAAAAATATAAACTTTATTTATCGAGAATAAATCGTATTGTCACAATCATTTCTTGGAAAGAGGTAAAGAAATATTATACCAACTGGGCAAAAGTGTTTATTCCCACGTTGCTAAGCTTATTTCTCTTGTGATTGCATGTAAATTACTGCTCCATTTATATTTCAGAATTAAAATTATGGCGGAGAAATTATATATCCCGCGGACCGTCCGCCCCTGTTCTGGGCTTGGGACAGTCAAAAAATTAAATAAAAGAGTCTCCAGAAAATAGAAAGCATGTATAGAAAGACATTAAACATGTTTAACGTGGTTTACACAAGGAAAAACATGGGGTCTGGAAATTTCGCCCGCCTGATGATTAACTTTCCTTTTGTTTTGTCTTCCATTTTGTCCCACTCAAACTGCATAGCTTTTATCATGCGATTGCATTGTGTACAATGTCATTATATATATAGGGCGAGTCCGGAACTTGTAAGGGGGTGGGGTCTATATAACGAAAAAAGTCTGACAGGCAAAGGATGTTTTTTTTCTTCAGAAAAGCAACAAAAACACAAACAAGAAAGAAGAAAAAAAAGGGGGAGTCCGAACCCCGTGACAACCTCCCCCGCCCCTCACCCTTTTATGCCTTAACCATTATTAATGATAAAAAATAGGGTAAACTGATCAGATTGATTCACCCAACTATATTATTACAATTTAATTACATTTTAG